CTTTACAAATCAATCAACAACACAGATACCTATGCATTTATTAATTAATAGGTAGTCTTAAAATTTTCATTTAACATAATTTAACAAAATAAAACAGAACTTCTACTGAGTAAAACAATAAATATAAGACATTTAGCATTGATCCAGTTATGATAGTTGATATAATTTACAGAAAAAAATTTGGCCAAAATGATAATATAGCAATTTTACAATGTAGATTTAATTTGATCATTGTTCTACATTTGGCATTCTGCTAAAGAAAGTATTTTTAACTGTTAAGGTATGTGGACACAGTTATGATAAAATGGACAGACCTTGAAAGTTCAAGTAAGTTCAGACCTTGAATCTTGGTTTCCCACGAGCTGTGTGATCTGGAAAGCAATTTAAAATAGGGTTTATCAATCTCATGAGATTATTTTAAAGTGAAAAGGAGATACTGTGTGAAAATGCTACATAAAAATAAAGCAGTCTCACTACTTGTTTGGATTGGGTTTTGCACTTTCTTTTGGAAATGTGCATATTTGCATGTCATGTTGTAATTTTGTGTTTGTAGATTGTAGAAGAAATGAATTATGTCAGATATCTTTCATGTTTATATTTTTAGCAATCCAACACTTCAAATAATATCTATGTACTCTTTTGGGAAGGATGGCATTCTTTGTTAGGGTGTTCTCAAATATGATTATTCTCTCAGAATTGGATCTCTTTGATATTACTTAGGATTATAAAAGATATAGTCCATGTGCTAGAAACTTGACATTGTCAACACATATTAGAATTTTTTTATATTTATTTTTTAGTTTTAGGTGGACACAATACCTTTATTTTATCTTTATGTGGTGCTGAGGATCGAACACAGTGCCTCACGCATGCTCACTACCAAGCACTCTACCTCAGAGCCACAACCCCAACCAACCCTTAGAATTTTTTATTTAACACTTTAAACTTCAACCACTGCTCTCCTGAAGCCAATACCTCATTTCCAAGAAAAAGCCTAAAACTTTATTTTTATAAACAAATTTATACTTTATAGCAATAACCTGCATTTTGATGTTTAATCAGAGTTCCCTGTAGAATTCTTGAGTACACGTATTTGGACCCTGCTTTGGAATTCCCATGTGGTAGTCAAGTAGTGTGTGTGTGCATGCTCTTTGGACATGTGTACTTAAATCTAGAGCTGTATGATTTCATATTTATACCATTAAAATTTAATATAAATTTTCTATATGAAAAAACTTGGAGGTGCCCTTTTTCAAAAACTACATATTAGTCAGTAACTGATTCTACTTTAGACTTGGTTTCACACAATGATAAAGTATTATATTTTGAAATATTCATTTTATTAAGAAGGATGTATGGACAAGGCATTCTTTATGTACAATTATTAGTTGAGTATCCTAAGTAGCACCCAAATTGTTTGTCATTTCTGTCTCCACTCCGTATTTGCCCTTCCTCCTCTCTCCTTTTTTCCCTTCCCCCTTTTACCCAGTCTTCCTTCCCTTCCTGCTACATGTGTTTAGTGAGGGGGTACTATGTCCCAGGCACAGGCACTGGGAGTAAATATGAAGAAGAAACATGGAGTCATTCCTGCTCATAGAGAATTTATGTTCCAGGGACAGATGGACATTAAGTAGAGTTTTTAAAAATTACACACACACACACACACACACACACACTCTCACACACTGATTACAGAAATGATAGGGACTATGGAGGTATTTATAGGGAGCAGTTATAAAGGGAACAGACCGTGATATGAATGGACTCACTTTATTTCACAAAGGATGTGAAGTTAGGTCATCAGTATCCTCAACAGCTTGGAAACAGAGGAGCTGACATTCACCCCTCCTCCCACCTTGGCTTCCCCATATATTCTCCTCTCTAATTTTATTTAACCTTTGAGGCTGATCTTGTATTTTTATTTGAACCCCATTTTAACCCTGTAAATTGTTTTAAAGGATAGAGGTCAAGGTGCTAATTTTTACCCTTGACTGCCACTCTTAAGAGGTGGTGCCCCAGAGTTTCACACTCCTTTATGGAGACCAAGCTTAAAATTCCAGGTGTCTGATTACTGGTGATAATCATGTTCAGTCAATATATTAAAGACTGCAAAATATTTGAAATTTTACTTGAGACAAGTACTTCAGTTAGTATGTTCATACAAACTCTTCTGATTCATTTTTGGGCTGAAGGGTGTCATCTTGTAAAACAAATTTCTTTTTTATTTATTTTTTACTTATGCAATACCTCTTCACTCCCAGTTCCATTCCTAAATGCAAGATTCAGCCTACGTTAAAAAAAAAAATCAATCCTGTGTTAGAAAAGATCATTTTTGCTTCCTAGTTTTAGGCATACCAAGAAGGGTGAGGAGAGGATACAGTTAAAATGTGTAAAAGTAAATGATTAAGAAAAATATGGATATGAATAAAATAGAAGACATGCAGGTTTTAAGTGGATAAAGATGAGAGGAAGAGAATGGGGGTAAGTGGTCATTGTATGTTCATGTCCAGATCTTTTTTATCAAAGAAAGGAAAACAATAAAGCCACATTAGCACTAAGCTAATGAAGCTGTTTATTGTTAAGATATGGTGTTATCAACTTAGAATGGAGTGAAAGGCAAGCAAATGCTTGTTTATTACAGAAAGAAAAACTTCACGGAATCTCAAAATAGCAGTTTGAAGTCAATAATGCTCTTGCATCATGTAGGCTCAGCCTAGCGATTATTCCCTAGGTGAATTCTTTGGGCAATTTATTTACTGTTTTTGCAAAATGTAAATATCACCTCTTGAGAAAATATCTAGGTTCCTCTCCTCCCAGTGGATGTTAATGAGTGTCTTTGAGAATGTAAAATTCTAAGACAGCATTCAGAAATGCAATCTTCTTTTAAAAATGCATGTGACATATGGATAGATTAAAATACAAGGGGTCTTTAAACATTCTGCCATATGGATATTCATTATCTATGACCTCCTCCCCTGGTTACCTGATAATAAAAAGCCAGTTGTAGTGAGATTCACATCAGAGTTCAAAGACAAAAATTCCACATTCCCAATTATTATCCATTAATTGTAGGACTAAAACAGTCAAGAAGGCCAGAGAAGGAGCTCTCCTGTGGCCTTTAACAACGTCACACAGTAGCAATACCCCAAACCAGGTATTGCCTATATATTTCATCCTAGGAAAGGGGAATTGGAAGGGATACTGGTAATCATAAATCCAAACCTGTCATCTTACAGTTGAGGAATCTGAAACCTGCTGAGGTAAAGTGATTTTTTTTCCCAAGGATAAAATACTCAATCTTAAATTCCAAAGTAAATTCATATTCCAGGGTGGCATAATTTATTTCTCAACCTAATCCTAGAAGGTATCCCTGGTAGCTTCAAATTATGAATGTTTTTGACAGCTGCTTCAAAGTACTGTCCTTCTTCAATATACAATGTTTCAAAATAACAAAAACTATTCAAGACAGTTCTCCAAAAAAAAAACAAAAAAAAAACCACAAAACCAATCACAGATTAGCTCCATTTCATAATGAACTCTATCCGTTTGTGATTATTATGTTTTTTTTCACATTTAGCTGATGTCTTCAATTTCCAGGAAGAAAAGAAAATATTTTCATTGTGAATATCGGTGAATCAAGGTTTTGTTGTTGGAAAACTTTTATTTAGATCTCAGAAAACACAGTACTGCTTTAGAGTTCGTTTGCTTTTGCTTTTCCTTTTGTTATATCTTTTTTAAACTTTAATGCATTTGCCAGGTTTTTGCTCGAGACATTAGTGGACTTTGTAGATCTTTAAATTGGACAAGTGGAAAGATGCAGGGGTATAAGTGTGAGCCTGGACTTAGTCAGTGTTTGAGCCGCGTTAGCACACTGGATTCTTTAAGATGTATTCAGTCATAATTTTATCATTTAAATGTGACTGAACTGTGTTTAGCCAATTCTGATACATTTTTAAAAAGAATGTGCTGCTGAGCTAAGACTCTATATGCCATATTTCAGCCCCAAGCAGATTTTTATGACAAAGTCATAAACCCCTGGAAACAGGTTTATAATGGAAAATGCAACTTGACCTTAACTAAAGGAGCCCAAATGCACCTTACAAAAAGGCTCATTTTTGAAACAAACGAAATCTCTTTCTCCCAGGGGTGGTGTCATAGGAGAAAGGTGTATAATAATAGTTGTATTTACCATAAATACCTAACATATTTTATGATGATTTGATTGTATTAAAAAATTTCACCTTATAGATTTTAATAAAGCTACCTATGTGCAAAGTTATTGCAGTTGGATTTCTTTTTTTTCGCCCACTGGTCTCAGTGGAAAGAAGCAAGCAACTCTTATAAAAGGCTTTAGTTTTTAGTACCTGGTTAATAAAAAATAATTTCCTCTTCTTTGGACTTGTTCATGAAGCTGAAAAATGACTCCGCAGGTCAGTGGTGTGTGGCAAAGCTAATTTCTATAAGCTTTTTATCAGGTGGTACTGAGTAAAACAATATGGGGAAACTGAAAAACCCACACTACTATACCAAATTTACCAGGGTGAGAGTTATCCCTGGTGTCACAAAACGGGAAAAAAAAAAGTGACATTTTTTCTTCTTCTAGATTTTTAGTACAATGACGAAAAAAAAAATCTTTGATTAAAAAAAGGAACAAAAGGAAAAACTAAAGCATATGGAAATTTTCAGCTAGATTTAACTTTTAAAAATTGATGTGAATGGCCAAAAATTGATGTAATGGATATTGTTTAAAACACAGTATAATTCAAGTTTTGTTTGTTGTTTTGTCCACAAGGGAACTCACAGTAATAAGGGTGAGTGAGGTGATCCATATCATAGCAACCTGGAAAGTGATTGTCATTCAAATAGGTATGCTCCTCTGCAAGGTGCCTTTTCCCCAAGCATCACATTTTCTCAGAGGAGCTTTAGGAGGACACTCTAATCAAGAAGAATGAGGCATCTTCCCTGGAGGTTCAGTAGAATGTTTGCTCTGTGTCTTGCAGAGCAGAGTAGAGGATCATCACTCCTCTCCAGCATATTCACAGGCCAGCTTCCAAGAAAGAAGCTGGGAGCTGGGCTGCATGAAGTGCCGGAGCTCCTGTGTAGCTGGCAGTCCTCTCCCGGTAAGCTCAAAATCACATTTCTTTCTCTAACTCTTTAGGCTTGGGAATTGCAAGGACATGTTGAAGCAATCTATGCTTAGGAGGTCACAGGTCCCCTTCTTACTCTCCTTGAGCCCAAAAGAACCAAACCCCAGGAACTTGGAGAGTTAATGAGTCCTTCATTATTTTTATTTTAATGGCTAGCTTGGAGAGTTGGAGATAACATTAGATGGAAGAAGGAACATACTGCTTGGGGTCATGTCTCAGAGGAAGGTGAAAAGAGCAAAATAGCTATAATGCCTTTGGAAAAAGTGGCCAAAAAATTTGTTTCCATTTTTTTATTCACTTGGCAAAACAATAAGTCATGTGTTGTATAGATGTGAAAGAGAGATGTTTAGATTGTCAGGTTACAATATATAAAATCTCCCACATAGCTGCTGTTCAGCAGTTGTGTACTTGGTTAAGATAGTGATGGTCAGGAAGAAGGGCATATTCTACTCCTGACGTGGGAGACAGGTGTTAAGGATGATGTGGACTCAGACAAGTGGTTGTTAAAGGAGCAGGGTGTGAGAGCATTCCCTCCCATCAGATGACTTCTTAATTTCACAAAAGTTGAAAGAATGGTCATTTACTAAGAGGGGGTTGAAGAGGTATGAATGAGAATTTGAAAAGAATGGATATAAAGGAAGCAGGGTTTATAGTATAAGAGAGGTTAGTGACAAGTGACACAGAAAATTAAAAGCCCAGCTTCAATTTATTTGAATCAGTAGAGAAGGATGAAGATGAATTAGATGGGTGAGGTGAAGGAACAGCAAGTGTGATGAAAGCAATTAACCAAAGACCTCTGGAAAAGGAAGGGTGGCCTTCAGTGACAATCCACTTCCAGAACTGGTGATCTTGTCATACAGGTCTCCATTTTGCAATTTGCAAAACTAATTTTATCTTAGGTTCTCTTTTTCTATCATAGGAGGGTGTGAGTGTTTAGGTTGGGCCATCAGCTACTGTAGAGGGATATGAGTGTTAAGGATGAGTTACCAGATACTAAATAAGCACAGTACAAATTGAACATCTCTAGACATCTGAAACCTAAAGTGTTCCCAAATCCAAAACTTCAACATGATGCCTCAAGTGGAAAATTTCACACCTGACCTCATGTAACAAGTTGCAGTTAGAATGCAGATACACTAAAAATTATATATGAAATTACCTTCAGGCTTACATGTAAGGAATATATGAAACATAAGTATATTTTATGTTTAGATTTGGGTCCCATTCTTTAGGTCTCATGTATATATTCCAGAATCTGAAAAAATACTGAAATCAAAATACTCCAGTGATAATTATTTTGAATGAGGCACACTCAGCCTGTAGTATAATTTGTGTAAGCCTTAAGTGTTGTATGAAAATGATAGGAAACTCTTCAATCTATACTTAATCATTTTAGGCTATTTGTGACTCTTCTGGAGTCTTAGAGTCTTCTTGCCTTTTGTCCAGCTTTTAATACTTTTTAGTCCTTTTAGTTTGGGCATGTCAAAGATTTGCTCTATAAAAACTACCAGAAGTTGGTATTTTTATGAAGTGTTATACATTTATATTGTGACACAGTTTTGAAATTATAGGCTGATAGGAAATAAAATCACTTGATAATCTCCTCCTGTACTCTGAGAAAACCATTTATACTAGAGGAAAGGACAGTTCTCTCTTATCTTTATATTCTCTCCTTTCTAATCTGTACATGTGTACTGGGCATCTCATCTTCCCTCAGCTGCTTGACAGGATTTTATAACTGTTTATCTCAGTTGGAGATGGAGTAGAGGAGAAGAGGAGGGAGCAGCTTTGCTGAGGTTTCATAGGTTTGTTCTTGTGCAAAACACCCAGCCCTTCTGGACCTTCTTTAAACTGGGGACTTTAATATCTTCTAATTTAGAGTTATTTATTATTTACTTTTGATGCTGGATATTGACCCCACCATGCCTACCACACCCTCTGCCCCTCAGCTCCTCAGCTGTATTTAAAGCCATAAGACCTGATTATACTGGGGTGGTAGTGACAGGGGTGGAGAATAATCCTAATAGTAAAGTGGCATTTAATAAACAATGATTAGTGATGTTGCCTCTTGTCAAAACTGTACACAAGCCTGATGCAGTGGCACTTGCCTGTAATCCCAGCAGCTGGGAGGTTGAGGCAGGGGGATCACGAGTTCAAAGCCAGCCTCAGCAAAAGCAAGGTGCTAAGCAACTCAGTGAGACCCTGTCTCTAAATAAAAGACAAAATAGGGCTGGGGATGGGGCTCAGTGGTCAAGTGCCCTGAGTTTAATTCCTGGCACCAAAAATCCAAGCCAAAACAAAAACAAAGACAAAAAATAAAAACAACAAAGACACAAAAACAACTGAAACCCTGAAGTGGATTTTGCCTTACTTGCATCTGATATGGTTTAAACTCCTTAAATCCATGAGCCTTCAAAGTGCTCCATCACACTCTATTCCTATCCTCCTTTTCTTTTTGCTCCATGTTATCCTGCTATATATACACCTCTCTTGCCCAGTTACTATGCATAGTTCACAAGCTGTTTTTATGGCCTCTGGCAGTTTCTCTGGGTTTCTATTTTCTTTTATCAAATTTTTACCCACTCAAAAATATCCAATTCAGTTAGAACTTTTGTTCATGTTGTCAATCCTCTGTTTCCTCTTTCCTCTTTCATTGGCTTTTATTTGTACTGTCCTTTGTGGCACTTGTCATATTCACTTCCTGATTTATGGCTGTTTATATACTTGTTTCATATCTCTCTCTCACCAATCTATTTGGTAAATGCCTTAAGTACCTTTTTGGGAAAGGATTATTTATTAAGCACCAATCTTGCATTAAGCAACATGGCTGGTTTGGGAGTGGATACCAAAGAAAAATAAGACTTGCTTCCCCATTCTTCAGTTCTCAAGGATCTTTCAATCTAAGCAGAGGTAAAACAGGGAAGTAAATCATATAAAAATAATATAATCAGTGTAGCCATCCAGGGATCTCAAATTATTCTGGAAACAAAGAAGTCATGTGGCCCAGGATGAAGAGTTCAGAGAGGGTTTCTTAGAGGAAAAACTCTTGAAGTAAAATCTAAAAAGTTGAGTAGGAGTTCATGGGTTCATGGAGGGTTTTGAATACCAGCCCAGGGTGGGGAGAGTTCTAGGCTGAGGAAAGAACATTAGCAAAGTCAGGAGGGCATGGCACAGCTCGGTGAGTAAAGGAACCACAACCTTCTCAATAGGAACGAAGTGTAGATGGTAAGATTGGATGAGGTAGGAGATGAACCTTGAGTAGAACTCATAGAGAGTTCTCAAATGCCAAGCCAAGGGGCTTGGCTTTTATCCAGGATATATTGGAGCGCCCTCAGAAGGTTTCAGATGTGTGAGAGGCATATGATTGTTGGTTTACAGAATGCAGTCTGGTGACAATATGGGTCATTACTCTGGAAGGAGGGAGCTGGTTAATATTTGGGATTGCTTGTGCTTAGAGTGAATCCTGTATTCAACACAGTTGAATGAAAGGTTGCTTTCATGCTCTTCTTTGATGAGGCATTGCTTTCAAGAACAAGCTCAATCAAAAGCAATGTACATTATTGTTAACCTTCAGGGAGAAAATTTGGGGTAACATAGCAAGTCTAAAAAAAAATCCACAGGAAATCTGATGTTCTAAACAGAGTGATTATATAAAATGCTGGCTGTGGCTGAGGCAGATGCAATCAGAGAATTGTATAGTTGTGAATCAGAGTTGGGTTGGTCCTTAAAGTCCTCTGCTTGATAGTAAATCAGGGGCTTGGGGAAATATGTTTACATTTCACTTCTTACTATATATCTGATTACATGTTTTGAGAACTGGATAGAAAATATCTTTATTTACAAATTTGGAGCACGAATTATATTGACTATATGTACATACAGGCATAGATTTCTTGTTCAGTGTATAAATATAGTGAGGTATATATTTACATGATAAGATACTGCTAATTTGCCATTTTATTTCAGTCAGAAACATATCCAAGATGTAATGAAATTCAATGACTCTAATGGTAAAATTATCATTACTATGGAATACTATATTAGATTTTATGATTTGATCAATAATAATTCATTGGTGAAAAGAGGAACAGACTTAGCTGGATTTTGTTGTTGTTGTTGTTTTGCTATTTCTTCCCTTGGGCTCCAATATATTTTTTTCTGTCATACAACTTAAACACCCTGTTGCACTCATTATTTTGCTTTCTTTTAGATTGAATACTTAGATGTGTGTACTTTAGAGGCTTCAATCTGTTCTCACATGCCAATTCTGACCCTGTTATAGATTGGTATAGTTCTAGTTTGTAGGTATTCCTTTACAATATTTAATTACTGTCACTGATTTCCCCTTCTTGATTATTTTTTCAGTGTCTCTCCACGGATTTTTCCCCCCATAGCCCTCCCTCTACTTATCTTCCTTTCCCCAGTTGGAAATCAGCAGGGTCAGTGTAGATGCACACATAAGCCACAGAGCAGCAGGAATAGCCTTTTTGGTCCCTTCTCAGATGGAACAACTCTTGCTCATCATATTGAAAATACAATAGCCAGCTTATGTTGGCATCTTTCTGGAAAGATAAAGAGGGATGGAGCGTGAAAAGGGAAAAAAATAACTTTGTAAAGTACAGAACAGTTTTGCCAGTGAGAGAAAAGAAAAGAAGAAGAAGCTGGAGAAAGAAGTAGGCGACATTGTTAATAATGTTACCATATTCGAATATTCATCCTTGAATTAAAAAAAATTCTTTTGTAGTTGTAGATGAACAGAATGCCTTTATTTTATTTATTTATTTTTATGTGGTGCTGAGGATCAAACCCAGGGCCTCACATATGCTCGGCAAGTGCTCTGCCACTGAGCTACAACCTCAGCCTCAATTTTTTTTCTTTTAAAATACAATTTTGATAATAATTTCCTCTTACCTTCAATTTTAGTGCTTGAACAAAAGCACTAATTTAGCACTTTAACTTGTAGAATTCAAAAG